ATTTGCTCTTGCTGATGCAGGCAGCAGAAGCTTGTGGGTGATCACACTCATAATAAGAAGGCCAGGGTGATCCCTCTAACACTGGGATTCACTTTCCGACGGGGTGAGAAAGAGGGCCCCGTCTCCCTGGTCCGGTTGCCTCCTGGCTTGGTCTGGGCCACCATTCCTCCCTTCAGCATGGAGCTCCTAGGCTAACAGTCACTGCGAGAAACATTACCCTTCAGAGCACACCTCTTGTACCGTTCTGCTGTGTCCTATTCAATAGACGCTTAGCGAGTGTCTCTGCTAACGTCCTAGAATGATGTCAGCAGAGTCTTGGGGTTTGGGAATCCTCCTCAGGGGCAGTAGGAACAGTCAGGCAAGGGCCTTCTGTCTCGCCATCTAACAGGCATCTACCAGTCGGGGGAGGCGCCCCGGGCGCACCTGGCCCTTCGTGTGCGGCCACCTGCGTGGGTGCCGCCGCCGCGGGCCTGTGTCCCCGTGAGCAGCAGCGCTGGGAGCCTGCCTGCGGACTGGGAGACTCGGGGCTCGCCTCGCCTGCTGAGGGAGGGTTCTGTCTCATTCATGCAGCAGCCGTCCTCCAGACAAGAAACACAGTGTGCCTTTTTTATTGAGGAGTAGTTCCTGACTGCAGAGCTTTTTGTTAATTCTTCTGTGCAGGGAGGGAGACTCCTGAGAGAGATGGAGAGGCATCAGGCTGTAAATAAGTAACGAGCGCCTGGCCGAGTGCCAGCGCCCCGAGGCGCTGCGTCTCCTCGGAACCGGCTCACAGGTCCTCCCTGAGAGTGGGCCTTGAGCCCCTAATTCGTGTTTCTGTGAAGCTAGAGACCTTGCCTACGTGATGATAAGTAATAAACTCTGACCACTTTGACAACTGGGTAGGGATTCAATCTCTTGAGCGTAACTTTTCAGTGAAGAGTCTCAAAACGTGGCAGGGGGGCCATGTAGGGGTCTGACGTGGCCGAGCTGGTTCTTCGTGGCAGTTGGATCTCACGAAACATGGAGCTGACAACTCCAGCTTGCCTCTGGGAAGGCCCGGGGAGCTCACAGACAAACAGGAAGTCTCTTGGGTTCTTAGAACTCCAAGGTGTGCTCCTATGTGGAGCCCAGACCCTTCTGCTGAAAATGGAGGGGTGGCGGTTTGGTTGGGTTTGGGTTTACTGTCTTGCTGATAGAAGGGGTGTTGCCCTCGGCTATGACTGTTTGAATGTGAGGTTCTAACGTGTTCTCCCCGTTCTCCTTCTCCCTCTTTTGATTTGGTCTCTCACCACTCACTGCCTTCTCTTCCTGTCTCCTCCTTTCTTTCTCCCTGTTTCTGTTTGTTTGCCTCTGTTTTGCTCAGGTGGCTTCGGTGCTGCTCCAGTGTTTGGCAGCCCTCCTACTTTTGGGGGATCCCCTGGGTTTGGAGGGGTGCCAGCATTCGGTTCAGCCCCAGCCTTTACAAGCCCTCTGGGCTCGACGGGAGGCAAAGTGTTCGGAGAGGGTACTGCTGCTGCCAGCGCGGGAGGATTCGGGTAAGCCCCCCGGGAGAGGCCAGAGGAAGCCCCCAGGCTCGGGTCAGCAGAAGCTCTGGGGCCCAGTACTCCTGGTTTGAAAAGAAAATTCTTCTGTTTCCCCTTTTCTTGACTAAGCTGAAATTCCCTCCCTCAAAACCCACAAACCAGTCACTCTAGGATTCCTGTTCTCTGCAGGGAAAGGCCAGACTCTGTCCAGTACTTGCCAGACGTGAGCCATGTTCCTCTCCCCTGATAGGTGGCTGGCAGATCCCTGTCCTAGCAGAGCCATAGGATTGGTTAAAGGAAGAAAACAGTCTCCCCTTGGCTGCTTTACTGCAGGATTTCCCCTCGTGTGGCGACTTCTGTTAGGAAGTGCTGAATGAACAGTTTTTACCAAATTCTTTCCTCTTTCGGTTGTTGTCCCTGAGCAGACAGCTCCTTAGATTAAGTTCCCTGCTCCACTGAAGACCCCCAGCGTAGGACTTCAGTCCACAGTCCCCTGGGCCAGCTTCCGCAGGCACCATCTGGGCCCTGGACACATTGCAGAGTCTCCATGACCACTCTGCCTTCAAGACTGCTCCTGCTGCTTGGTGTATATCCTCACTTGAAAATGTCATAGTAGAGATTTGCTTCAGAGGGCCCCAGAAATTCAGTCTGGTTACCAAAACCCCAAGGAGAAAATAGCCTTTACCACATCACAAAATCCCAGTAAAATATATGTGGTGATGACTACAAAGTGTCTCATTCGAAGGAAGTATAAATGAAGTTACTGTCTGCTGGGCCTTTCACAGCCCTCAACCCTGGCTCGGGACTCTTAACAGTGCAGAGCTGGGGGGTGGGGCCGGGGGCCATTCGGGAGAACTGTCAGGGCACGTGGGATGAGTGCTGACGATGCGGGAGCATCTTTGTCATGAAAGTAAACTCAAATGGAACCCTTCCTCACATCCTCCTCACCTCTCCAGGAAAGAGGCTGGTGCGGGCATGCTGGCAAGTTTCAAGGAAAGGGAACGAGTTGATACATTGCTTGTTGGATTTCATGTAGAGACTGATGGGTCTCTTAAGTTGCTCCCAGGAAACCCTAAGTTAAGGAAAGCTTTGAAAGGAGAGTTGGGGTCGACTTAAATCAGTTTTCTGGCAGGTTCTGACAGATACTGTTTTTTGCAGTAACCGCCCAGCACGTGATATTGCAAAGTTGCCGGAAGGTTTGTGGTTGACTGGGAATCTTGAGGTTTTTATTTATTTATTTGAAACCAGCTATTTTCTTTGCTAGCAAAAAAAAAAAAAATAGGAGGTTCTGCCCTGGCCAGGGGCTCTCCCACATAAATCCTGACTGGCTGGTTAGTTCTGAGTTGTCCAGCAGAACCAAGCACCAGTTTTGGTGTGACATCTCCGAAGGAGCCCATCACCTTTCTTCAGGTCCCCGCAGTGAGTCTGTCTCTGACCCCGGCTGACACCCGAGGGCTTCCCACAGCCGTGTATGAGAGGCCCAAGGCATGGGTGAGATTAGCTCAGGACCAGTGACCTGGAAGTTCCAGACAGCGGAGGAAAACCCAAACACTGGACAAGTGGGGTTTCATCCTGCAGCCCTTTATTTTTCTTCACGAAGCTGAGGCAAAGGTTTGCTGAGCTCTAGCCTACTTTTTCTGAGAGGCTGCCAGTTTAAACCAAGCTCGTCAGCTCAAATCATGTATGTCGCGCATCCTGAGACCCAGGAGAGGGGCCGAGGCTGTTGGGCAGCAGAGTGACCACGTGGCCGCGCTAACCGCAGTCTCCGTTCTCACCGGGACCCAGGTTCGGGAGCAGCAGCAACACCACATCGTTTGGCACCCTCGCCAGTCAGAACGCACCGACTTTCGGATCGCTGTCCCAGCAGTCTGCTGGGTTTGGGAGCCAGAGCGGGGGATTCTCTGGCTTCGGATCAGGCGGAGGAGGTGGGCAGCCCGACCACTCTCTTCACTGTGGTCTCTCCTTTCGTTCCCTCAGTAAATGTCTGACAACCCTCACCCCTACCCTGACCCTCCAAGAATGAGTGATTTTACCTGGCTATTCAGTCTGGTACTTGAAAAGTTGAAAGTACTGGAAAGACTCAGTGTTCTTTTTAGGTTTATAACACTGTGCTGTTTCTCACCAAATAAAGAAATGGCTGACTTGACTTTTCTCTCAAGATTTGAGGACCCCAAAAGATAGCCATTCTAACTAGACCTAGATAAGATAGAGAAGAAAGTAAAAATAAGAGGTAGAGACTTTACAAAATGTCTTTCATTTGTTTGACACCCTACTTCTTCAGATAGTAGGTATCTTTGCAGCACACTTACAAAATGCAAAAGTTAGGTATTGTTATTATTTTACAAATGACATAGAGACCGCAAGGGGCCAGTTTGCTCAAAGGACTAGACAGTGAGCAGCAGGGCTGACCCTCACACCGATTGTCTTGCTGCTCTGGCCTCAAGAAGAGAGAGCAAGTGGATGGAGAAAGTAGGAAAAGCACGTTTTCTTGATGAAATGAGTTTGTGTGGCATCAGCAACAGTGAGACCCTCTGCTGGCCACAGTGGAGGTGGGACAGACCCTGAAACAGCCAGCAGGCCACGCCCCATCCTGCCCCTGCCCTCTCCCAGGCCTGCGTCTTGCGGGAGGAGGGCTTCCTGTAGAGACACAGGGAGGGGCCTAAGGCACCCTAGAGCCCACCTTTGTCTTTCAGGTGTCTGTGTTCTAACTGCACCCTTTTCCTCTTTTTCAGGGTTCACCTTTGGATCTTCTAACTCGTAAGTATCCCTCTTCAGTTTTGAGTCATTAAATAAGGGTGGAGGCATCTGCAGTATGTGAAAATAGTAGTTTTGGTCTCCTTGTACAGTTTGGTATCTACTTTTCCTGTTTAAACTCTTGTCCTGGAAACGGCGTTTCAGCAGCAGGTTTTGGGGTCTATGGACTTGCTGCTCTCAGTAGGCATGTGGCCGGAGGTTCCACGCCTGACCTTCTCCCAGGCCATGTGTGAGAGAGAGGACGGTGCCTTCTGCTGAGCAGAGCCTGGAAGGCAGAACCCGAGAGACGCTTTTCCTTATTTCCCTGTTCATTCTCAGAAGCTCCCTGGGCTCCGAGCCCATCCCCAAGTCCTGTTTTTCTGTCCTTGGGCTCTGCGTCTGTGCAGAAGCGCCTGACACTGGAAGTTCCGAGTCCTGCTCTTTGAACACAGGCAGTTACATGAGCTCCGGAGCCCTTCCTGGAGCAGGAGCTGACCTCCTCTCCCGGCACTTCCTTGCAGGTCTGTCCAGGGCTTTGGTGGCTGGAGAAGCTGAGTGGGTGTTGGCATTCCTTTCCATTCCTGCGACCCAGTGCGTTCTTGGCTCCCCTTCTCTGAGGAACCCTGCAGCAGTCCTCTGGACTGGATGTTCTCATTGAAATACACCACTCCCCCCTCCAAAAGAAACAGCAGAAACCAAACTCCAGAGATGCCTGCCTGCTCATTCTGCGCTGTGTTTTGTGTTGGTTGTCCCCCCTGCTATTAAATGTTCAGTCTGTATCCACACAGAATGTGTATGGGCCTCTTCCGGTCACAGCCAGGGAGAGAGGTCCCCCATTTCTGGGCTCTGAAGAGCCTGCACCGCCTGCCGGCAGCCAGCAGCATCTCCCTGCAGAGGCAGCCTCCCAAAGGGTCTGGCGCGGGCTGTGACCAGGCTGGCGCTTCTCCCAGACGGCCCCCCAGACGGAAGAGGTCGCATGCCGGCCAGCACCTTTCTGAGGCCGTGACTTTCTGTCTCTTCTTCACTCCTTTCTACTGCTGGGCATCAGGCCCCTCGAGGTGCCAGCGTGGCGACTAGTTGGAGGGAAAGAAGCTCACCGACGTGGGCTTTAGCCGAGTCTCAGAAGCGGCATGAGCCCCTCAAGAGCGCGGGCGGCTGTGAGGAGCGTGGAGGCGGGCAGGGCCTTCGATGGCCGCACGCTGCCCTGGGAAGCCCTCATCTCCTCTTCCTGACTTGGCCCTGGGCGCTAAGCATCCCACAGTGATGCTCATGCTCTCGCGAGGAGCTAGGCGGTCAATTGAGAAACCGCTTTCGTCTCCAGGCGCTGGTGTCATGGGTTATCACCCCGGCTCCTGTCTGTGAACCGCAGTGCTCGCAGACCTGGGTAGACCCAGGAGCTGAGATGACATCGCCGCTGCCCTCAGTCACCACATGCACATGCTAGCGTGGCCTGGAGGTTGAGTTCAGTCTCGTTGAAGCGCTTGTGAGGCAGAGTTCTTCAGATTGGGGCATATTTCGTTCTCAGGCCTGTGACACCCTAGACAGGTGCTGACAGGCAAGGACTGCCTTGCCCCACGCGCAGGCAGAGGCGCATGTTCCCTTTCAGGCCCAGAGTGTGACAGCTTGGTCATTAGCAGGGGAGGGGTGGGAAGGGACAGTTACTTAGATTTTCATATATTGAAAGTTGTATTTTGAAACATTTTAATAAAAGCTTTCCACGTGGTTTAGTGTGTCCCATTGCGGCCAGCACGGCCTCGCTGCTTCTGTGGGCTGGTGGGGAGGGTAGACCTCGGCAAGAAGCCGGGCACACAGCCTGCTGCCGGCGCCCACTCTGCCAGGGGCTCTGGGTGACGCAGACCCACAGGCCCCAGGCCAGCAGCTTCTGGTTCAGTCGGCCTGAGATGGGGCCTGGACGCCGAGGGCTGAGTTCAGCGGTTCCTGCTGCTCGTCGGAAGAGGAGTCTGCTAGCGCGGCACGCTGGGTTTCAGGAGCCCCAACGCAGGATTGGGTCCCTGGTGACTTCCCCTGTTTTCTGTGCAGTTTGTGAGAGAAGAGTGAGCGTCTGTTCGTCCATTGCACTAAACAGGTGTCTGCCTCCTTCAAAGAGCCTGAACTTCAGTCCTTTCGTGGGGACCCTTTTGGTCCTTGTGGAATTGAAGAGCTCATCTCCACCTGTTCTCGCGGGAGGCCCCTCAGCCTTGGAACTGGTTGCCAGACGTCCACATGGCCGGCCCAGGGTCCTTTCCTCCCACGCGTGTGCTCCTGACTTGTACATGGGGCCATCTTGAGACAAAGGACCTTTGTCACGGTGGTGGGCCGGTGGCGGGCCTGGCTTTCACGGAGCAGCATGACTGAGTGACAGGTGCTGACCTGTCCCAGAGTGTCCCGCTGCTGACCGGCACCCACACAGAGCCATCTCCTTCCCTTCTGATTTCCCCCAGAGGCGCTTTTTTATAAATAGAAGCTGGTTTGGCCTAAACCCTTGACCTGAAATTCTCTGCGTAATCCCCCATCGAGGTGGCGTGTGACATCTCTCTAGAAGGCCGTATCAGCTGTGCTCAGCCAGATAAGGTCCCACACTCACCGGAGGGCGGCAGCCCTGAGGAATGCGCGGCTGGTGTGAGAGCTCCTGCGAGTTCCTTTTTTGGGGTCAATTTCGCTGGTAGGTGGCAGGGGTCATCTCAGCGCGCAGTCAACACGCATCCCCTGAAACCCAAGCTCCCAGGATGTCAGGCGGGGAGTGCAGCCTGCCCAGGGAGGAGGCGGCAGAGGTGCGCCTTTCCCAAGTAGGGGCAGACAGAGAGCAGCCGGTGGAGGGAGGGGGGTCGTGTCCCAGTGAGAAGCCCACGGCGGGATTGTCCCCAGCCCTTACAGAACGGCCAGTGGCAGCAGAAGGTGGGCAGTCACAGCAGGCTGGCTTTGTGTATCTGCTTGTGTAACTCAGGAAAGGCAGGAAGGAAGAGGAGGATGGCAGTTAAATGAGCTCAGTTGTGTTTTGCTGGACTTTTCCAGACCTAAATGTCGTTCATTCATGACTGGTGCTTCAGAAGGCAGTGCAATGATAGAGACCAGAAATTGCGTTTCTCAGGGGCCAGATGAACCCAACTCGCAAACTGGACGCGTGAACCAAGTCCCTTTGCATGTAGCTGTGGGCATAGAACCCCCAGTACCTGAGCGGGTGACCCCTCCAATCCTATTCCCCGCCCAACCCCGCCCTGTCCCCACGAGCATCCTGGTGCTGTCTTCAGCTTTGCTTTCTGTCTCTGGCAACCCCCAGAGGTGTTTCTGAGTCAGGTCTCTGGTGCTGTGGAGAGGGTGTGGACGTTGCGGGCTGACCTGACTCTCACCCTCACTGGCTCTGGGGCTAGGACCAGTTTTCCCTCTTGGTCTCCCTCGGCAGTGAGATCCCAACCTTGGTGGCCCTTGTGAGGATGAAAGGAGGGCCCACCCCTGGAGCACCCAGCACAGGGTAGGTTCTCATTAAACAGTGGCTCTTCTCAGCCTACAGACCTCACCCTACATCCCAGGTAAACAATTTTAGATAGATCCCCATGTCAGCCTCATCTGGTTTGTGATGGGGGGCATCTTCCACCTGGCTGTCCAGCCCTAGGCTTAGCAGATAGGGGACCACTCTGGGTGAGGGGTCATCCCTGTTTAACGAAGCTCTAACACAGATGGGTCTATTTCCACCTGAGGTGCTGGCCCAGCAGAGCTGAGTTGGCCCCTTGAACCTGTTTCCAACAAGCTTCACAGGTGATTCCCACAAAGACGGTCCGTGCTCCACGTTTAGAGACAGTAAATACTTTCTCCCTAGGGAACATTCAAAAGAGACTCTCATTCTCATGGCCGTGTTTATTTTGTCATGAGTCCAGGGTGAGAAATCGAGTACCACAGAATGACAAGGAATAACAGTAGCGTTGACAGATCTCAAATCAGGTGCAAGTCTCCAACCTTTGCCATTACGTTTTCTCACTGGCAGAATGGGAGGGTTATAAGGGCCAGTGCAAGGCACAATGAGCTCTTTCTTAATGTAAGCTGATATCAAGAGGTTTTTAGAAGGTTTGGATGAGAAATTGGCTGCTCTACTTAAAGGACATGATTTAGGTTGGTCTGTATTACATACAATGCCTTTGTCATGCTGGCAGACCAACTTTTCAAAACCATTAAAAAGAAAGAAAAGGACACCTCTATAAAAATTATGAACCTTCACTTGCACCAATTAAGTAATCAAGGTCTGTCAGTGGTTAACAACTCTTGGTCCAATTCATAACTCATAAAGAAATCTAGTGTTTGCTTTTACCGTTATCAGCTTGGTCACCTAAAAAGGGACTGCAGAAAATTTTTTAAAATTGAGGACAGACTAGATTTCAGACCAGAATTTCAAGTTAAACAAGAATTAGGGGAAAAAAAGAATTAGGGCTGCTCTGAAGAAACCTGGAGAGTCTTCCCCCTCCTCCTCTCTAACAGCCTTGGGGAAGTAGAAATGAATATACAAGGAGAAATGATTAAAACCTTAGTAGATACAGGCGCCACCTTCTCAGTTTTAAACCCTACCGAAATCAAAGGCTCCCTCCCTCGGAATAATACCTCAGTGCAAATAGTGGGAATTTCCAGTGCACCCATTAAGGCTTTTAAATCATTACCTTTAGAGTTTTACTTAGCAGAACTTCAAAAACATTCCTTTTTCCTAGTAGAAAGTACCCCTAGTCACCTGATAGGTAGAGATTCGTTAGAAATATATGGCGCCCAGATTTCTTTTACTCCTAAGGGAGAAATGTTTTGAGGTGTAAAAGATCAATCAGATTTCTCTCTTCGTAAAATGTTTACAGCCTGTGATAAAGGTGATGCAGAGCAAGGAAAACTGCTAGGCCTAGTGCCTAAAGAATTACAGGCATGTGATCCTGCTAACACAGGGAGAATACATTCCACGTCGCCATTAACGTTAACCATAGACCAAAATAACCGCTGCCCGTTAGTCATCAATATCCACCGAAGCAGGAAGCTATAGAGGGAACTCTAGTGGTGGTGGTGTAGTCACCAAGTCGTGTCCAACTCTTGCCAGTTCTCAGACTGTAGCCCACCAGGCTCCTCTGTCGGTGAGATTTCCCAGGCAAGAATACTATAATGGATGCCATTTCCTTCTCCAGGGGATCTTCCCAATCCAGGGATCGAACCCACATCTGCATTGCCAGGTGGGTTCTTTACCGCTGAGCCACTGGAGAAGCCCATAGAGGGAGTAAAACCCTTGATCATCAGCTTCCATTAAGACCCTTGCACTGGCCCTTGTAACACTCCCATCCTGCCAGTTAGGAAACCTAAGGCAAAGGTTGGAGACTGACATGGGATTTGAGATCTATCAACGCTATCTTTATTCCTTGTCACTCTGCGGTACCTAACCCCCATACCTTAGTCCTATCTCCCTAAAAACAGTGACTTCTTTTCTGTGATAGGTCTCTACATACTGAAGTACATTCTTCAGTATCCCTGCACATCCTGATGATCAGTATCTTTTTTGCCTTCACTTGGAATGAATGGCATTATACGTGGACTGTGATGCCAGTGGGCTCCACTGAAAGCCCCGCTTGCTTTTGTCAGGTATTAAAAGCAGATTTAGATGATCTCGTTTTTCCGCATATATCAGTCTTGATACAATATGTAGATGACTCGCTATTGTGTTCAAATTCCTTAGTAGATAGTCAGCAAGACACCCTGTACTTACTCCAGAAGTTAGCTTCAAAAGGACATGAGGGGTCCAAAGAGAAATTTCAGTTGGGCTTCCCTGGTGGCTCAGAAAGTAAAGGGTCCATGTGCAACGCAGGAGACCCGGTTTGATCCCTGGGTCAGGATGATCCCCTGGATAAGGGAATGGCTACCCACTCCAGTATTCTTGCCTGGAGAATTCCATGGACAGAGGAGTCTAGCGGGATACAGTCCATGGGGTCTCAAAGAGTCAGACACAACTGAGTGACTAACACTTTCACAAGGCTAATATAAAGAATTCAGGACATGTGATATCTAAGGGTGGCTTTTAATTGATCTAGACAGAGTAAAGGACATATCGGCCTTCCCTGCCCCGAGAACAGAAAGACAACTGAGAGGCTTTCTAGACCTTGCAAGCTACTACAGGAATTGGATTCCAAATTTTTCCCTAGTAGCTCAACCATTATATGATTTAGCTAAACAAGAGCAAACTGAACCTCTCTGCTGGGAAACAGAACATTCTAAAGCTACAGAGACCCTTAAGGCCCTCCTGGTAAAGGCCCCAGCGTTAGGACATCCGAATTAGGATTTACCTTTTTTCCTTTGTCCATGGAGACAAGAGTGCTGCGTTAGGGTATTATCCCTACGGCATGGAGGCTACTTCCAACCAGTAGATATTGCAGCCCGCAGCTAGATGCGGTGGCCAGTGGCCGCGTCCCCGAGCTGTCACTGCAACAGCTATGATGTGTGGAACTGCAGGGGAGATAGTTCCGAGTCACCCTGTCACTGTCTTTGTTCCACGCTTTGTGGAAGCCTTACTAAACTCTCCTCACGCACAGCATTATTCAGCAAGTCGATTAACTTCTCATAAGATTGTCCTGCTCTCACCAAACATAACTCTCCACAGGTGTAACACGCTTAATCCAGCCGCCTTGCTCCCAGAAAAATTGGATGAGGAAAAGCACTATTATATTGTTGCAACTAACAGTCTTTTATTTCCTAGGATTGTGAATAATCCTAGTCTTATTTTGTTCACTGACGGTTCATATTTACGAGGACCTCATGGAGAATACCAGGCTGGCTATGCTGTTGTTTCTCCAGTGTCCATCCTCTGGTCCTTTACCTAATATCTCTTCCACCCAACAGGCTGTTAATAGCACTGACCAGGGTGTGTCAGTTGGCAAGAGGAAAATCTGCCAGTATCTACACAGACAGCCGCTGTGGTTTGGGAGCGGCACATGATTTTGCTATGCTTTGGAAACACAGAGGACTTCTGACATCCTCAGGACGGCCTATCAAATACGGGAAGCAGGTAGCAGAGTTGTGAGAGGCCATCTGCCTCCATGTGCACTTGCTCTTGTTAAGATATCGGGTCGTTGAAAGGCTGACACTACAGAGGCCAAAGGAAACCCTGTAGCTGGTGGCGCCACCAAGATAGCAGCCTCTCTCATCAACAGCCAGCTAACTGCTGCCTTTTCCCTTTCGGCCTCCAGCAACCCCACTAACACGTTGTTAAAGTTTCAGAGAGCAGTAGCAGGCCAAGGAAAAGACACCTGTGTACAGAAGGGAGGGAGGTTTCAACTGCAGC